TTTTGGTCATTCAATTTCTGGTTTGTTGTTTTTGTGGCAACTTTCTTGCTTTCATTAAAATAAGATTATTATTAAACTATACATTTAATTAGGTTGTTGGTATAAAAGAAATGATAAACAGTATCCATCTGAGCCATTGTACTAGGGTTTTATCTATCATAGTGAGTGTCTACACGCTAGGTGGCAAGGCCTTTTTTCTCATTGATTTTCATGGCTTCCTACTTATTAGGGTTCTAGTTTGTTGTTTTTATGGCAACTCTAATACTTCCATTAAAATAAGATTATCGTTAGATCGTTTAATTAGGTTGTTGGTATAAAAGAAACTACAAATGATATACATCTAAGCTGTTATGCTAGGGTTTTATTTTGTCATGTTGAGTGTTTGCATGCTAGGTGGTAGGGCCCTTATTTTAAATGGTTTTCATGGTTTTCTTGGCTTCTTGGTCATTCGGGTTTTGATTTGCTGTTTTTATGGCAACTCTTTTACTTCCATTAAAATAAGATTATTGTTTAACCATATATTTAATTAGGTTGTTGGTATAAAAGAAATTATAAACGGTATCCATCTAAGTCGTTGTGCTAAAGTTTTATCTATCATGTTGAGTATCTACATGCTAGGTCACAGGGCCCTTATTCTCATTGGTTTTCATGGCTCCTTAGTTATTAGGGTTCTAGTTAATTTGTTGTTCTTATGGCAAGTCTCATGCTTCCATTAAAATAAGATTATCATTACTACTTAATTAGGTTGTTGGTATAAAAAAAAATTATGAATAGTATCCTTTTGAGTCATTGTGCTAGGATTTTATCTATGATGTTGAGTGTTTGCATGCTGGGTGACAGGGCCCTTATTTTCACTGGTTTTCATGGCTTCGTAGTTATTAGGGTTTTAGTTTGCTATCTTCAGTGCTCTATTACTCAAGTAAGATGGCATTGAAATAAGGGGTTGAAGCGACAACTGGAGGCACTAGGATGAAGGACTAGGATCAAGCCTTGGGTTGTTGGCTCCTTCTGTTAGAGGAAGATGAGGTGGGGCTGGTGGGGATAAGAAAGGAGTCTATGGTGGCAGCTAAAGGCTTAGTGATTGTTCTGTCAAGCTAGCTGCGGATGGAGATGACCGGCTCTAAGATCATAAAAGGCGGGGCATTTTAGTGGTTAGTTGAGGGTTGCAGCAAGGTTTGATAGGGTGGTGGTGGCTGAGAGGCAGTCGTAGGAGGTGAAGTAGGGTGTCTATTTTGGGATTGTAACGTGCAAACTTCAAGCAACAAACGACAAATGGTGAGGGACATTCAGGAGAAAATTTTGGCAAAAAATCTAAAGGGAAAGATTTTGATTGGTGGTGGAATTAGGCTAAGTTTGAGCTTGTAAGTGTAGTAAAAAAGGGAGAACAAACAGCGATTTCTTTCCCTATGGGATCTGGTGAGAGGGTTTGCTAATCGATCGATTTCTTGCCATCAATTAAAGCATAAGTGGAGGAGATTTTGTTTGGACTTATAGTAATTTGGGGGTTGGTGTTAATTCGAATTACTTATTTAGTTTATTAGAACTATTATGATAATAACTCCTTGAAGGATTAGGTGAGATTTGAATACAATTACGAAGTGCTATGGTATAGTATTGCTGTACTCTTGCTTATCAATAGTATTTGCCTTCTCAATAAAAAAAAAAAAAGAAAAAGAAAAAAGTTGTTGGCATAAACTTATTATCACAAGGGAAAAAAATTATAGCACTCTTTTATAATAAATATTTCAATTTTTTGGTACTCAAAAAATTTTATTTTAATTAATATTTATGAATTTAAAAACTTTAATATAAGATAAAGGTTAGTATCCTATTAATTAAAAAATTTGGTATATATATGTATTTTTTAACGTTTACAACTTGGAGATGGAGATTCGAACCCCAACTTTAGGATTAGGAGAATACATCTTATTATAAGTATAAAGTTGTTGAATCGCCAGACTCAGGTGTAAATTTTGCATATATTTAAATTTTTACAATATCAAATAATTAATCTTTCTAATAAAAAATATCAATGTATTTTTTTTTTATTCATAGTCCAAGAGTCAATTTCGAAATTAATTCATTTTTTAAAGATTTGAAGAATGCACATGCACCTCCTATATCAACTAACTTATATGCTAACCTTAAAATCTAAATTTTAAATTTAATTTATAAAGTGACATTTACTCACCAATAAATTTAATTTTTAAAGTTAAAAAATTAAAATAAAAAGAAAGGTACTTTACATCCCATATAGCTGGAACCGATCCCCTTAAATTGAATTCATTCCCTTTCCTTGTCAATGTTACCCAATTCAAGCTTGGTGCCAATCACCGTTTTCCGACATTCCTGTTGGTCGAATTCAATGACGATTACTCATCGTACAGGAGTCAGTTTTAGCGATAAACCGGAAAAGGAAAAGAAGCAGGTTCCGCCCATGATGGGCTTTTTATTGTTTTCTCCGTCTTAGACATTCTATTTAGATTCACTTGTTTCGAATCAATGTGAAAAAAAAAAAAAAAAA